TCACGATTCCTTTATAATCCTGATCTTATATGACTTAGTTTTTATTCGACAACAGTCATTTGATTACAATTCATTCGATTCTCGATTGTGTTTCTCGATGCTATATGCTACGTATTTCTAATTAGACATCGAATGAACTTTTGTTTATCTTATCGAGTCATATTTCTTCCCTTCGATTTCGATCGCTTTTCTCGATTTGCCACTAACACATAACCAAATGATAGTCGCAATGTTATAGTCATTTTTATTTGTCAAAAACACTAGAAAATACTCAAACTTAGAATCAACTAGCAAAAGGAACATTTTTACACTATCCTATTCGATGCATTCTTTAAACACTTATCACAACTTTTGTGGATGCTTCTTTCTCATTTTTTAAACAAAGTGGCGTCATTTGTGAGGTTAATACTATAACCACTCTTTTCAATCCCCTGAGCATCTTATAATCCAAGCAATAAAGCATACAAAGTTTCATAGTTATCTTTAGTTGAGAACAATATATTCTCTTTTATGAATCTCAACTTTTTTTTTTTTACAAGCTCTAATGTATATGACTTTAATAAAGCGAAAAAAAAAGTAGAACAAGAGAATTTGTATATTTCTCACGCTCTACAAACTTAAAATACATATATAAATTTTAGGAATATTTGGTAAATCTAAAATCATAATTTCTAAAAAAACAAAATATGAATGCTAGAAATTATAATCCTTTAAAATTACTAAAATAAGGATGAAACCATATGTTCAAAAATAAAATAAAATGAATATTTCTTCAATAGAAGCAATAATATTTTTAAAGAAGTAAAATATTTTTGCTCTTGGATAGTTATCTTGATTTCTCGTCTTATTGTCTAATGTGAAGGAGTGGTGAATCTCTCTTCTACTGTATAAGATATATTTAAAACAATAATTATAAAATGGTTCATTCAAAAAGATTTTTTTTTTCAAAAGAGGTATTTTATGCAGATAAAAATGAATGATAAATAAGGTTGAACACTATTACGAGATGACAAAAAGATAAATTTCTTTTTATTCTTAAGTATACATGGGTGCTCGATAAAGAAAACTATTAAAATTTTAAATTCTTGATTTCTTCAATTGTTTAAGATTTTTGTCGATATATCAATATTTATGAAGATCCTAATTGAGTATATCAAATTGTCGAGATTCTTGCAAGAACATGCACTTTGAATTTAAAAGAAAAAGTTTGAAAACATGTTTATTATAACTTAGAAGGAGAAATGCATTGGAGTACTTATGTGTATCATGCATCGAATTTACTATGAGAATGATTTTACCTTTATTTATTATTTATCTTCTTTAAATATGAAATATTGATAATTATTAATATTATACTAAGTCAACTTCATTTAAATAATGGGTTATTCGGGTTTTCTTTACGGTTGTCTAATATATTTGTATTTTTTTTTCAATATATTGCATATCTTTCTAAAATAAATTATTTAAAGTCAAGTGTCCAAAAATAGATGTACCTAAAATTATGTTTCCTTACTCAAATCAAATCATACTTCTTACTTTACTCTTCACTCGACAAAGAACTTTGAAAATTATTTGTTAATAATAAAGGTAAAATAGATTTAAAAATTTGGAAAATAATTCTTCCCTCTAAATTGTAAAGAGGTCATATAAATCTCTTATAATGAGAATCAAGATACTAAGTTTGAGGTAAAGATTTGTTAGGTAATCCAAGTATTAGTCTAAATCTCACATCGAGTGAAAATGAAAAAGTTGAATAACATAAGAAAGTACGACATATAACTTAATATCTTAAAGTTTTTGGTTGAGAGTGGTGTCAACTCTTTATGTGGGTTGGACTCATATCTCATTAATGTTGTTTCCCCCCTGTAAATCCTTCCTCGAAAGACCTAACATGATTGTGATTGTAATTTTTTCTAACTTTGTAATGATTTTGCAAGTATTGTATGTGTACTAATCATATTGTCTTTGTTATGTTTTGTAGCTATAACTTCGACTACAAGAAGTTGATAGTCAAGGTTGGAGTTGTTTGGGTGAATCTTGTAATCATGCATGAAAGGTCAACGAAGAAGAAAAATATGTGAGATAGAAAAATCAAATAAAGTTGTTGTCTAAAATGAAACACTAAATAACCAACTAATAATGAAAAAATGAGTTCATCCAAGATTAACCAAACTTCCATTTTAACCACTATGATCACAACTCCTGTATACTTCCAAGTTTCAATAGAAAAAACATTATTGAGTGTAAAGAAAAGAACAATATTGATATGAAGTATGAAAAATTATTTGTATATTGTTAATCTTATTTTTACCCGTTTTAACTCCAACTTTATTTATGTATTTTCACTGTGGCATGTTAATATTATTATAAATAAGGTTAAATCCATTGTAGGATTTCTAACTTTAATTGATATAGAATTGTTAAATAATGTTATACTTTTTAATAGTATTATATATTTTTGCGAAGGGGGTGCATGCTAATTTTTATTATTGGATATTAATAATAACTAAGTGTCATCAATATGAGATTAGAAAGTGAAAGAGTTATAAAGTCTTCATTAGTGAGAATATAGACATATAACATGTTGTTGAGTTCCTAACAATTATTCATCTACGAGTAATTTCAACGAAAACTGAAGAAAATAAAAAAATAGGATAACTCTAAATATGATAAAGATGAAATCACTAAGTTGAAACATCTGTTGATAAAAGTTTAAGTGAAGTTTTTAAAAGATTGAAAAGAGTCAAAGAGAACTAACTAAAGAAAGTTTTTAAAAGATTGTTTGTAATCACTTTATATTATAAATATAGAATATCAAACATCCTAAAGATATATTACGTAAATAAGAAAAAACTTATTCAAAGAAGTTTTTAATCAGAATTACTTAAAAATAAAATTAAATATTTATTATAGATTTTATGATTAAATTATGTATCTAAATATTTTTTTTCAATTTTAAACTACTCTCCACTTTTAAATAATTTAGAGGCGACTCGGAATAAAATATTTACTAACAACTCCTTCAAAATGTTCCCAGGATTAATATTAATGAAGATGACAAGTGTCAAGTAAAGGCAATAACGTTGGGCTGGAAAATGCCTTCAAACAGAGAGTCAACCAGCTGCCCCTATGCCGACGGAAGTCATTAATAATGTCTGGGTAATTTCGTAATTTGGGTTCAGTGTGCTGACATCACCAACAAAATAAACGAATGGAGGAACAGAATCTTACGATCACCGACAAAATTGTGAGTCGTTTTCTTCAAAGAAGCTAAACATGAAAATCTTTTTCTTCCATTACGCTACTTCATACTTGAAAAATGGTTGTGATATATTAGGGTTTTAACGTGTAAAGGTGTAATTATCCGATCCCAAAATTGTTTCTAATAATCTTAACCAGAAGTTTATGAATTACAGGTTTTCATAAACTCACCACTGATGGGAACGTTTTAGATATTGATATTGCTTCAAAGCAAAATATTTTGTTACGTGACCAAGAGAAAAGCATGAAAACGTAAAAGTGTACATCTTCTTACGAAATAATTATAAAGCATAAAAGGAAAGAAAAGAAAGCAAGTAAGGAATAAATAACTAGCTTTTATCTTCTAAATGAGGTATTATTTTCGAAAAATAAATAAATAAATATCCAGTATAAGGTTCTAACAAGTTACATCACTCTCAAGACTTGGCTTTTCCCATTCACAAAATCATTATCTTTGTCTTCTATCGTTATTTTTTCATTAAAATCTTTATCATCTTAATATTCTCTATCAAAATCATTTTTCATAATTTATTTCTATGCATTAATAAAATGGTAATTAATATAATTTTAAACGTTATAAATTATATATAATTAGAAATATTTTTTTCTCATGAAAACTAATTATGTCTTGAAATAGATAAAAGTAAAAAATCAAGTATGATAAAAAAAAGTGTTTTCTATTTTCATTAATGTGTATAAATATTTTTACTGATAATCACTCTATTTTATCACTATAAAGTTATTAAAAAAAATTACAACTTTCTTCACTAATTTTCATATCATTGTCTTTTTTTTAATTATTTTTAAAAATAGAATTATCAAACAAGGTTTTTCTTCTTCCTTATTTTCAAAAATATTTTTTCTTAAATTAATCTTTAAAATTATTTTTTTAAAACAAATAAAAAATTCTAAATACGTATCATTTAAGGTGAATTATACAAATAAAAATAATAATCATTTTTCATTATTTTCAATAAACTTGTTAATGTAAGCACTTTTATATCTTAATATTTTTTTCTTCATAAAAAATCACTCATCATAATTTATTATTTTCTCACTTAAAAAATATTAATATAATTAATAAAAAAATTAATACAACCTTAAACTTTAAATATTATAAAAGTTTAACAATTTTTAAAATATTTTGTTATATAAAGCACAAGTATTTTTCAAAAAATATATATTAAAATTAAAAAAATGCACATGAAATTAGTAATTTTTTGAAGTTAATTTTAATTTACACATAAATTAGTTTCAACATTTATTTTTTATAAACATTTATGAAAAAGTTTATCCAAACATGAATATACTAAAAATATTAATTATACCAAGAATAAACTGGTCCCATTTGATTCAGAAGTTGCTGATAGAAATTAATCAGTGTATGAATAACTAGAGACATTAATAACTTACACAGTGTCACCTAAGCCCAATCAAAAAATAAAAAAAGACAAGGAAAGCAGTTAAATGATAATTTATTTATGAAGTATTGAAGACAAAAACAGCGAGGAGAGAGAGAAACGAAAACTAAAACATGAATGCCACTGCCAGTGGTCATAGGCAACCACTGCCATAAGTGGGACCAACATCAACATCCATGGAAAAGGTCATCATTCATCATGGGACACACGGTTAACTAACAAGGTAACTAAACAAAAACAACCACCTTGGAACACAAGGTTTTTCATGAGCAATGATACTGGGTGGGTCCCACTGTCCCTAACACAAGTAGTGGGGTCATGTATTTGCTGAACCAGCTGTTCTCTCTCTCTCTTTCTCCTTCATATTCTCTTATCATTGAGACCCTTTGTCCCTTCCCAAGATCTCATTGCATTTCCCTCCTTTACAGGGGAGATAGTGCAAGCGTAATCTCCAAGTTCTCATCTTTTTGTTCCCTTTTGCCCAGAGACACACATAGGCCCAGAAGAACTTGCAAGCTATTTGACTCAGATCTGTCTCTTTGGTTTCACTTCAGGTACTCTCTCATTTTCCATCTAAATTTGGACCCCTTTTGTCGGTTTTTTTTTTTTTTTTAATTCTATTTTTGCACTTTCCTATTTCCTTTCGATGTTGCTGGGGTTGTTTAATGTTTAAAGTTCTTCAATTTCTTTCCTTGTTTTGGTTTGGTGAAAATTCTGGTAGTTGCAGCACAATGGTGTTGCATAATTTGGCTGCAAATGCCGATTTGATTATATAAATCTGCATTCTATGCGCTATTTTGCAGTTCAAAAGCAAAAAGGAATATACTTCAGTTCTTCATACTGTTGGATTCAATATGATTGAAGAATGAGGATTTCAAATTATTCTTTGTATTTTCATATGCTATTTGGATTCCTTTAGATATTAGAATTTTGAATTGCTCAATAGTTGAGCTTAGTTAACTTTTTCCCCATCCCTTGATGATGAATTTCTCTACCTGAAGCCAGAAGCTGATTCCTGGTTTCGTTTTCATAACTTTTATCTTGTTTTGACGAGCTAAAAGGCTTACATAACTCATTTTTCAGCAACAAATCTCATAGGTCTAGTAGCATTTAAAGGCAAGCTGACTCCTTGAATTATTTTGGGCTGTGAGAGATGATATCATGAAATTTACATATTTCCTGTGTTAAGTGTCTAAGTGAGGAATGCAAAGAAAATGGGAAGGAAGGGAAGTTGGTTTTCTACTGTGAAGAAAGCTCTAAGCCCTGACTCAAAGGAGAGGAACGATCAGGTTAAGATGAAATTTATAGTTAACATTTCTCAGGCATCCAGCATGTTCCTTACAGTGTTAGCACCTGCTTTTGCAGAAAACAAGTAGACCAAAGAAGAAATGGTTTGGGAAGCAAAAATTGCAGACTTCATCATCACAATCCGAAACTGATAAAGCACCTCCTCTTCCTCCACCGGAGATTATTTTACCTCACACTGAGGTTGAAACCAGTCATGATCGCGTCGAAGTTGCAACAACAGTGGTTGCTGAGGAACCTGTTCCCGCTGTTCAGACAGCACCTGCTGAGGTTCAAGCCACTACAATTGTCCAGTTTCACAGTAAACCAACAGAAAAAGTGGCGGCAATAAGGATTCAGAAAGCTTTTCGGGGATACTTGGTATATTTTACAATTTTTCATTTAAACCAATGTAACTTACTCCGTTCAGCTTCCCTTTCATTGTCTGTTGAATGATTTTAATTTTTCTCTGCAACTACTAGTGAAAAAAAACCTCTGTTACAATAATGATATAGCAGTTTATTGTCTACTGTACACTAACAGTTGGTAAATTCAAACTCTATGTGAATCCATGCTAAAAATTATATATTTAATTATGTTATGTCAAGAGATCATATGTGGTAAGTAATCAATAATTGTTGCAAAAGAAAGTTTCTTGATTCATGATAAACTACTTGAAAACTGAGTTTTCTTCTGAAATCATTTAGGCAAGAAGGGCATTGCGGGCTTTAAGGGGACTGGTGAGGTTGAGATCCCTCATGGAAGGGCCAGTGGTGAAACGTCAAGCCATTAGTACCCTCCGTTCTATGCAGACTTTTGCTCATTTGCAAACTCAGATTCGTTCTAGGAGGCTCAGGATGTTGGAGGAGAATCAAGCTCTACAGAAACAGCTCTTACAGAAACATGCAAAAGATCTGGAGAGCATGAGGGTTTGTGTTTCATTTCCCTTGATATATTTCCAATTGCTGATCCTATAGACATGAAGATAATATTTACTTGAGTTTTAGATGGATTTTGAATGCTTTTAACTTATTTCAAATTCCTATAATAGCTTGGGGAGGAATGGGATGACAGCGTACAATCAAAAGAACAGGTTGAAGCCAAGTTACTGAGCAAGTTTGAAGCTGCTATGAGAAGAGAAAGAGCAATGGCTTATTCATTCTCTCATCAGGTTTTCTATTTCTCTTCTGAATATAAAGTTGTTGGCATAATGAAACAGAAATAAGAAAAGGATATGAAGACAGAGCAATTGACTTTGATCTTTTTGAATAAATTTCTCAATAAATACTCATAAACAAATAGGAAAGGTGACATGAACTAAACTTTTTCCATAAATTAAAAATCTACCTTATCTGTGTATACTGATATATTTATCCAAACATTACCTTAGTTTGCTATATCACAAAATAGTACATAGCATAAAGAACTAAAATAAGAATATGGCTGCTACTGTGAATTCCTTGAGGTGTTGAATAAATTTAACTCCAGAGTTTGACCTTAAACAAACAAATGCAACTTTATTCTTTACAGCAAAACTGGAAGAATTCATCAAGATCCATAAATCCAATGTTCATGGATCCAACCAATCCAACCTGGGGTTGGAGTTGGTTGGAACGGTGGATGGCAGCCCGGCCCTTGGAGAGCCATAGCCTGACGGAGAAAGAGAAGAATGACAATAAATCAATAAGAAGTTCTGGCCGTGGCATTACCAGTGCTGAAATCAGCAAATCATTTGCTAAATTTCAGCTCAATTCTGAGAAGCATTCTCCAACAGCCAGCCAAAATCCAGGCTCGCCTAATTTTGAGTCACATTCTCAGCAATCCCATTCAAATCCTCCCAAGTCAGCTTCTCCAGCAGTTTCCAAGAAGCTGAAGAAAATGAGTCCAAAGGACATCTTGGCCATAGACGATGACACCAAAAGCCTGATGAGTGTGCAGTCAGAGCGGCCAAGGAGGCACTCCATTGCTGGATCAACAGTGGGAGATGATGAAAGCCTTGCAAGCTCCCCAGCAATTCCAAGTTACATGGTGCCAACTAAATCTGCCAAAGCTAAGTCCAGAATGCAAAGTCCACTAGCTGCAGAAAATGTGACCCCAGATAAAGGGTCCTCTGCTGGGACTGCAAAGAAACGTCTTAGTTTCCCAGCTTCACCTGCTAGACCAAGAAGGCATTCAGGTCCACCAAAGGTAGAAAGCAGCTTCAATGCTGAAATCACTGTGGGAAATGGTGTGGCTGGTTGATTACATAGCCACAGGAAAAGGATGCACAAACAAGAAGTTAAAAAATCATGCCAAGAATAAGACAAAAGTTCATTTGAATTGTCCCTTTATTTATTTATCAGGTGTATCTTCAATCTTATCATTTTTATTGGAGGCTATTGATTTGGGGGTGAAAACTGTTTTACCTATTACATTTGTCTATTTGTATTCCCATTCATGTATCTACTCACAATTTGTGCTGAGGGGGTGAAAGGTTGTTGTTCATGATAGTACTATGGACAAAAGAACATTCAGCTGTCAGAATAACTTTCAGAGCTTCCCCAGTATGTTTCTGTTACTATTGATTCTTATTTGTCATAGAAAATGTACATTTAATTTCATTGTCCTATCATTCAGAGTCATTTCTCAGTACAGACAGATGCTACTATGTTCTGTAACCTATTACATGATATTTATGTTGTCTAGTGTATGGTTTGTTTGGACCTTTATCCTGTATGATCTGATGCAGAAAATTTGTTTACAGCCCAAGAAAAATGGTTTTGGGGACATATATTTGAACAAATGTCAGAAGAGAAACTAAGACTTTGTTGGGTAGGGATTAAAGAAATAGAAGGAAGGCATTTACTTGAGAAAATAAATTAAAAAGAACAAAATATTTTTTATAAATATAATCAATTGTTATGCTCTTTCGGAGAATATATATATATATATATATATATATATATATATATATATATGCATTAATAAATCATGAATTAATAATATAAAAAATATCATTATTTTTAGTCTAAAATCTTAAAAATAATAATTACATTGATGTTTTTTCTTTTTTTATTTACCTATTATAATATAATATTTTTTCTCATTTACTCACATTATGTTTTTATTCATAATTTACGGTAAGGTAGCCTTTTTTCTTTTACCATATAAAAGCTAAGTTTATAAATTTGTTCAATATTATTAAAAACCTTAATGTCTCAAAAAGGAATTAAAATTATGAGATGTAAAATAAAATAAATCAAAATTATATCAAAATTACAAACTTTTAAAATTTGAAAACAAAGATGGCAAATAAGGAATTAAAAGAAAATAAAAGTTATAATTTATTGTCTAGATTTCTTTCCACTATCACCAATGGAACTCTGACAGTACTGAAATAATCAGCATGTGTTAAATAGTTCCTAGTTAAACAAATTATTACATTAAATAAGTATTTTAATTCATGTTAAAAAACTAAGTTTTAAAAGTAAATAATGTTATAAATTATTATTAAAATATTAAAAAAACAAACAAAGCCACGCGGCATGTATTGGTGTAATTCTTATTAAAAATTATCAAAATAAATAAATCATTTTTGAAAATATAACTTAAAAAAAATAATACTTTCAAGTACAATTTTATTTTATTTTTCTATTTTTTAATAGAATAATCAAAATTTTGTTATAATAACATAATCAAAATTATTATTATTATTATTATTATTATTATTATTATTATAAATTAGAAAAGATTGGAAAATATTATCTCTAGACAATTATCTCATGCCAAATAAAGAAAATAAAAAATTCAAGACACAAATCCAAAAAATAGATAATTACATTAAAACCAATTTCAAAAAGCAAATGATTGAGAATGATTCATTAATATATCTCTCTGTCACTCCTCACAATTCTCAAGGACTTTATCTAGTCCAAACTATAATTATTTTTATAATTATACTTACTTTTTTAAAATAAATAAAATAATACAAATTAAAAAGGATAATTATAATTTTTTTATTATAATAATAATTATTATTATTTTTTAATAATATTAATATTTTTACTTTAAATTATTTTTAATAATTTAATAATATTATTACTATAATTATTAATATTTACTAGTGACATATTTTTATATAATTATTTTTAAAATATTTTTTTAAATTTTATTTTATTTTTTCTTTTTATTCTTTAAATATATCTATTTTTCTCTTTCTTATATTGACTATTTTTTAAATATAAAAATTATTTTTTTTTAATTATAACATTTTTATTTTTTTCTCTCACACAAAAAGAGCGGTTACATAAAAAATTTCCTTAATATATAATTATAGATTTTAAAAAATAACATTAAATATAATAATAAGAAGAAGAAGAATCTACTGTATATAAAAGAAACAAATATAAGATAGAAACTTTTTTTCATAACTTTTTTTTCATAAGATAGAAACAAATATAATTATTATAATTTAAAGAAAAAATAATTATTATGATTTATATATTTAAAAAAATGTATGTAAAAATAGGAAAAATATATTCAAATAAAATAATAATTTAAAAAATTAATTATAAAAATATGATCTTTTAGAATGTTTTTATTTTACTAGTAATTATTATAGTAATAAATAATACAATTAATAATAAAAAATAAATTATAATATGAAGAAAAAAATCAGACTTAATAAAAGGAATTAAAAAAAATAAATGAAATGTAGTAATAAAAGTTAAAAAAATGTATTTGAAAGTATAATTTTTAAATGGTATTTCAAAATAAGATTTATCATTTATGTGATTCTAAATAAATATTTATTTCAATAATTAATAATAATTACATAGGCGCGGAGCATGCCTTGTAGGGCTGTACCAGAAAGTTCGAAAACAATATGACCTAGAAATTACAAGAAATTCAACTTGCGGAGCAAGACAATTAAATTAATTAAAAAAGAAAAAACAGAATATAATTATAAAAGTGAAAAAACAAACATAATTAGTGTTTCTCCCCTCAACCCCTCTCTGTATTTGCTACCAAAACAAAACCCTATTCCAATTCTGCATTCATTTGTTGAAGCTTTTAACATCATGGTAAGTTCTTCATTGTTTTCCTTCAAATTTCATTCCTTTTATTTTCATTCCAACTGGGAAACCATCCTCATCCTCTAAGCTGTCAACAATTTCGCTCCTTTAATTTTTTATTCAAGAGAGCTGTTTTTTTCTTCCGAAATTTTCTTGCTTTTCCTTTTTAATTTTTTCTTCATGACTTGATTTGAAGCTCCTGTCGCCCTTTGTCTCTGTGCACACCTTTTTATGTTTTCGTTTTGCCCAATTTTATATAAAGTTGATAAGTAATTGTATTGAATTGTTTTAGTCTTCAATTTTTGTTTGGGACTCTGGGATTGGAGGGGAGTCCGGGGATAGGGTTTTATGTAGATGTTCTGAAAACAGAACCTGGATTAGTATCCTTATTGCGTAGATTAGCTTTGTATCCTTGTTGTGAGGATTAGCATAATTTGGAGTTTTTTATTTTCTGAATATACTGTAGTCAGCAGAGGTTGGAGGATAAATGGGATTTTATAAGTTTGTTGATTTTGATATTGTCTTTGGGTCATGAAACTGAAACTGAAATTTGGAACAGACAACACCATTTATGGCTGGGATTGCAGTGGCAGCTGCGGCTTATGCAGGTAGATGTGGTATCCAAGCTTGGCAAGCATTCAAAGCTAGACCGCCTACGATGCGAAGATTTTATGAAGGTGGTTTTCAGGCTACCATGACTAGGAGGGAAGCAGCTCTTATACTTGGTGTTAGGTAACTTCCATTTCTGTTTGAAAATGCTAATGTATTGATTGACTGTGTTACATTGCAAATGGAGAAAAGGACCTATTAATTTGTAAAATTTTGTTTGTGATGATGCCAGTTTTAGCAATGTTGATCATGACCTTTTTCTTTTGTTGGAGCTTGTTGAATGGTTGGAACAGTTTATGATATAATTGACTTGAGATAGTGATATTTCTTGTGATGTCCTTACAACCCAGTGTATATTTATATCCAACTTGTACTAAAGGTTAAGCCTCTTCATGGTCACATCACATGACAAAGGTCTTGTCCTAATCGGTGCTTAGGTTGATGTTGCAAGGTATGATCTAAAAATAAATAGAAGATCCCAACAACAGTTGCCACGATCTTATTAGGTCAAAGACTGGCCATGCTTTAGGCTTCAAAGCGTGTGGACTGTAATTTTGATTATTGTTATGGACTCTAGGGTGATGCATATAATTACTATGTGATTAGTTAGAATATTAGAAATACCTATAAAGCATCCAACCAATTTCCCACAAGTCTAGTATTCAGGCTGTATTATTGTTCTTTATTTACTCAAGATGCTGGGCCAAATCCTTTTCCCTTTTCTTATGTTCAACTTGGATATCGTAGATGTCTAAGAGATATGGCAAATTATGGTGTAGATATAGTGCTTTGTAAGTGCAGTTATTTAGGTTAACAAGAACTTCAAAATTGCACATCCATTGTCTGATTTAAAGGTAGTCAATAGTGCAGTATTGTCTCATTGAAGTGACATACACATCCATCATGGAGTGCTTTTCTGCACAGCCATGTTCTGAGCTGCAATGAAATTTCATTGGTTAATATTGAATTTCTGTTCCAAGTCTTGACAATTTATTGAACAGACATATTGTGCTTGTCTTGCTGATTGTCAGTCGTCATTTATGTTTCAGAGAACGCACTCCAACAGATAAGATTAAAGAAGCACACAGGAGGGTGATGGTTGCAAACCATCCAGATGCAGGTGGCAGCCATTATCTTGCATCAAAAATTAATGAAGCAAAAGATATGTTGCTTGGACAGACTAAGGGTGGTGGCTCAGCATTTTGAAGCCCCTATCACCCTTTCTTTTCATTATTTTGACACTTTAAGCTGTTCTCACTAGATGTCATCACCAATTTTTTTGGCCGTCGTCCAATTGTTTCTTGTATTATCAATTCTATAGTGAGAAAATTGAACATGGTTAGGCATGTATCGGGATGATAAAGCTCCAATGTAACATGGCTTGTGCTATTACAGCAAGATTGCTGTCAATAAAATTGACTTTTACTTGCTCATTGTACTACCACTATTCCTACACTACGTTTGACATTTCACCCTGATGTTTGGCTCGTGTTTTACTTCCTATATAATCCATTCTCTTCCTTACAGAATGTTTGGACTTCTTGCTGTAAAATTATTCTAAAAGAACCTTCAAATCAAATGGTTCAGACTTATCTTGGAAAATTTCACAGATTTTTAGAATCAAAAGAAATTCATATTGTATTCAGGATGAGTAATCTTTAGTTTCATGGTTCTTCAACTTTTCTTATTCTTTTTCGTCATTTAAAATCTAAGTTTGGACTCTAAAGTGTAAAAGCTTATAATTTCAATTAAAATTGTGACTTAGTCTAAATATAAATTTTATATTAGTTGTGAGGATTCGTGTTTGTAAGCATATAAATGTCCAAGAACTAATTTATAAATTTGAGTTACATGATGGTATATAAATAATTAAGATTAAAAACTAATGGTTTGGTCCTACTCAAAATAAGGAAGCTCTCTATGCGAACTATAAACCATAAGACAGTAGTCTGTATTGCTGTTGCATTTTTCTAAACCCTAAGATGGCAGCCTGTATTTTTACTGTATCGCACCTTCTTGCTATAATGTCAAGGGAGTCAAGCAGTAGAGAATTCAACAATAGTGACTGACCATAAAGGAGATCAGACTTTGGCCATGGTAGCCAAATAAAAGAAAGGAGGATCAACAAATGTAGAGAAGAAAGGTAATGGTCTCTGGTGTATCTACTATAATAAGCCTCGTCATACGCGAGAGAATTGTTGGAAGTTACATGGAAAGTCTTTAAATCTAAGACCAAGAAGGGGGACACAGAGGAGGTCCCTCAAGGAAAGGACAAATTTATGTTGCTGCTAAAATAAATGAAGGAAATAATCCAGAAGTTATTGCCCATCTTAACCAAGAGGAGACAGAAAGGGTGAGGACCTTTCTTAGTAAGCTGGAAAAACCTACAGTCGTGTGTTCTTTGACATACTCAGGTAAGTTTCCACTTTCTTTTGGATTAAATGTCTCAAATACACCTTTTAACCATTATTAGATATTGGACTCTGGAGCCACAGACCACATGACACCATTAGCCAAACACTTCTCCACATATTCCTCATGTCCCAGTAACAAGAAAATTGTCATAGTAGATGGAACTCTTATAACTGCAGTTGGTCAAGGAAATATCCAAATCAATCCTTTAATAACCTTAAAAGATGCTCTCCATGTCCCAAAGTTGTCCACCAACCTAGTCTCTATACAAAAACTTATAAAGGATTTATCATATAAAGTTTTTTTCAAAGATCATTATGTATTTCAAGACAATGATTCGGGGAGGATAATTGGACATGCTGGAGGATAATTGGACATGTTAGAGAATGGAATGAGCTTTATTATCTTAAATATCCAAGTCTGTCTAGCAAGAACAGAATCTCTCACTCCTTCATATCTGAATCCTTGATGACCAACAGAGAAAAAATCATGTTTTATCATTGTCAGTTGGGACATCCCTCTTTTAGAGTGATCAAAATTATGTTTCCCTCTCTGTTTATCAAGTTAGATGTTGAGTCTTCATTGTGAGGGGTGTGAACTTGCTAAGCACAAGTGGGTATCTTTTCCAATAAGTAATAAAATTAACAATTTCCCTTTTTTTCTTACTCATACTGATGTATGAAGACCTTCTAATGTTTCAAATGTGTCTGGTGCTCGATGGTTTGTCACCTTTATAGATGATTTACAAGGGTCACTTGGGTTTTCCTACTTAAACAAAAATTAGAAGTCAGTTCTGTCTTCCTAAACTTTCACTCCTTAATAAAAAATCAGTTTGGTGTTAATATTAAGAGGCTTAGGTCAGATAATGTCAAAGATTACTTCAATCATGTCCTTCATTTTTTTTGTCAAAAAAAATGTATAATTCATGAGTCCTCTTGTGTCAAAACACTAAGAAAAATGGGCATCTATTAAATCAGACTTGGGCATTATTGTTCCAAAAAAGTGTCCCAAATTTTTTTTGGAGGGAAGCTGTCCTTACAGCAATATACCTTATCAATAGACTACCCTCTAGAGTCTTAGGATTAAAAAGCACTATGAAAGTTTTGTCGTCTTTCTATCCAAACCTGTCCACTACAAATGATCTTAAATCAAGAGTTTTTGGGTGCATCTCATATGTCTATATTCATAGTACAGGGGAAACTTGATCTTAAAGCCTTAAAGTGTGTCTTTGTTGGTTACTCATCCACTCAGAAAGGTTATAAATGCTACCATCCCCATCCAAAAAAAAATTTGTGTCTAGGGATGTTACCTTTAATGAACAAGAGGGTTATTTCCATCAACCTTATCTTCAGGTGGAGAGTTTCAAGGAAGATAAGAAAAGTAATAATTCTAATTTTCTCATTCTTCTAGACTTGATATTTAAACCTAAACGAGATCAAGTTGAAGTTGTAACAAGTGAAACAAGTCAAGGAAGTGAAGCTAGTCAAGGAAAAGAAGCTGGTTAAGAAAGTGAAATTAATTGTGAAGTTAATCAAGGAGATGTTGAAGTTAGAAATTTTGGTAAGAAGCTGGTGTACTCAAGGAAGACTAAGGTCATTCCAGGATCAAGCCATGTTCAAGAATCCAACTCGACTCCACAAAAAGAGGTAACAATTTTTTCTCCAGTTGTGCAGGTTGAAATTGAAACCAAAAATGATCTTGACCTCCTAATTTTCATTAGAAAAAGGACAAGAAAATACATCAAACAGCCACTCTACTCTTTCTCAAATTATCTGTCCTTTAAAAAAATTTCTCCTACCCATAAAACCTTCCTAGTAAACCTAAACACTGCACTTCTACCTAATACCCTATCTGAGGCATTATCTGACAAAAAATGGAGGCAAGTCATGGATGTAGAGATAGAGACATTGGAGAAGAACAACACCTGGGAGTTAGTCACCTTACCGATAGGAAATAGGCCAGTTGGATGTAAGTGGGTCTATACAGTGAAATACAAGACTGATGGATCAATTGAGAAATATAAGACAAGACTAATTGTCAAAGGGTTCACCTAAACCTATGGAGTTGATTATTTAGAGATCTTTACTCCGGTTTCTAAAATGAACACAGTTAGGGTGATATTATCCCTTACTGCCAATTATGGTTGGAACTTGGAACAATTTGATATTAAGAATGATTTCCTACATGGAGACGTTGAAGAAGATATTTATATGGAGATACCTCCGGGATATGGTAGAGATGTTGCTGCCAACACTGTTTGCAAGTTGAAAAAGGTATTATATGGGCTAAAACAGTCCCCCCATGCATGGTTTGGCAGATTTACTAAAGTTATGACAGATCTGGCTTACAAACAAAGTTAAGGGGACCATACTTTGTTCTTTAAACATTCCAAGTCAGGGGGAATAACAATATTATTGGTGTATGTGGATGACATAATATTAACTGAAGATAATAAAGAAGAGCAACAATTGTTGAGTCAATGCTTAGGCAAAGAATTTGAAATTAAGACCTTGGGAAAACTAAAATATTTTTTGGGAATTGAAGTTGTCCACTTAAGAAAGGGATATTTATATCCCAACAGAAATACATAACTGATTTGCTCAAGGAAATTTGCAAGGCAGCTTGCAAACCTGCTAGTACCCCATTAGAACCAAACCTAAAGCTTAGAAATGCAAAAGAAGATGTTGTTATTGAAAAAGATATGTATCAACGATTAGTGGGCAGACTTATATATTTGTCACATACTAAGCCAGATATTGCCTATACAGTGAGTTTAATTAGCCAATTTATGCATAGCCCAAAGGAGACTCATTTACAAGCTGCCCACAGAATTTTACAGTACCTTAAAGGAATTCCAGGAAGAGAAATTCTATTCAAAATGAATGGTAATGTGAAACTTGAAGCCTATACTGATATTGATTATACAGGGTCAATTGTGGATAGGAGGTCAACTACAAGATATTGTACCTTTCTTAGAGGAAATCTTGTGACTTGGAGAAGCAAAAAGCAGGGTATACTGGCTCGGTCCAATGCTGAAGCAGAATTCCGAGTCATGGTACAAGATATATGTAAGTTGCTATGGCTTAAAATCATTTTAAAGACTTGAGGATAAAATGGGAAGAACCTATGAAGCTTTATTGTGATAATAAGTCAGCAATTAGCATAGCCCACAACCCAGTACAACATGATAGATCAAAGCATAATGAAATAGACAGACACTTCATTAAAGAAAAGCTTGATATGCATTTCATATGTGTCATCTCAAGACCAAATTGCAGACATTCTTATCAAGGGACTGGGCTGCCACAATTTTGAGAAAATTGTTTCCAACCTGAGAATGGAAAACACCTATTCACAAGTTTGAGGGGGAGTGTGGGAAATCAAATAGTATTTTAGAAAAAAATAAATTAGAAAAATTGTATATTTTTTTGTAATTAGGAATAATTTCATAAATCAAGAAATCCTAGAATAAAATAGTTATTATATTTCCTAAAATAAATTTCCGACAATAGTGCATATATATATTTTAACTTTTAATATTAATATAATTTAGTAGTTTGTAATTTGTATTTATTGTGCTTATTTTTCATAAAAAACAAATTTTTATTTGCCGTAAGGGAAGATGTAGAGATGAGTGTTAAAAACTTCAGATACAAAATATATTGTTGTCATTATATATTTAAGAACATAAAAAAGACATGCGAAAGCTTTCCTTTTTCTCTTGAAAGACCATCTACAACTATTTTCAGGATATGAATAACAATATACATTATTTTGATAAATTCATTATAATTTACGTGTTTAGTTAAAAGTTAAGGTTAAGAATAATTTAAATATATTATTTTTTAAATTTATCGAAATATCTTTTAAAAAAAAACTTTAATAAACAATCATTCCGTAAACGGAATATTTTATAATAATTAAAAGTTTCCAGTGATTATTTTTATTGTGTTCGCAATTTATGTAATATATAGTCTTTAAACTCTTTCAAAGCATCTCCTTGTTTTCCAGTTAGAGCACTTAAACAAACTACATCTTAAAACTATATTTTAAGAACATTGTAATTATGGTTTCTTTTTTTTTTTTTGACAAATTCCTTCGAAATACGTCACTTTAAGTTAAAATACATTAACTAGTTACACTCTCAATGTATTTTAAGATTATAATTTATTCTCGTATTTTACCTAAAAAGACAAATTCATCTATGTTAAAAAGTTATAATCTCAATCCATCCATGCATTTTAATTTCAAAATCATAAATATATTATAAAGATAAAAGGATAACTTATTTCTCAATAATAATGTACTGTACCATTAAAATTAAAATTGATTTGATTCGGATACTATTTTATTTAATTATATATTATAATTTTATTGTACGTCTAATATGATATTTTTACAAAAATATTTTTAAGTTTATTGATAATCATAATAATGATTTAAAAAAATATATCTATAATATTTTTAATTCCCAATATATATTTAATCATAGTATTTATTGATTAATGACGTGAGATTTTTCAACAAAATAATTGAATTTTATTAACTTTCATAATAATAATTATCAATTTTAATTCACAATATATACTTAATTATAGTGTTTATTGATTGATAAAAAAATTTATAGATTCTATTACAATCCTGGCCCTTTTCAATTTTTAAGATATAACTTTAAATCTCTTACTGTTTGTTTACATTTAGACTTTAAAAAGTCTGTAAATTCAGTTTAATCTTTATTTACGTATGTTTTTTTTGTATTTTAAAACTTAATCGATAAATTTTCTGGTAAAAATCTAAATGATTATATTAGGTAAAAATTCGATTTAACCAAAATAAGAAAATCATATATAAAATTAAATATTGGATAAACGTTACAAATTTTTAATTTAAGGACAAATTAGAAAAATAGAAAAAAAAAACATAAATATTAAAGAGATACCCAAACTATAATGATTCATTTCTTTGTACTGTAAGTGTATGGAAAACGACCTCGTACTCGTACAATTCTATATCAACAAACGTTGAAATTAAAAACAAATGTCAATTGGTTAAAGTTTCAAATGTCAATTGGTTAAAGTTTCAAATGTCACTTAAATTTTAATTAAAGAATGTAACCAAACATCTAAAAGAAGTTACATTAAAATTTTGTCATTAATAATGAGTTCACAATGCACTGCTAGCTCTAACCACATAGAATTAGTAGTTAATGATAATATGTATAACTTTAAAAAGGAGACTTCAAAGATGATGGTTCTCCCTTGTGTAACACAATAACAGTCGATGGACCAAACTTATCCTGATTGAAGTCCTCCAATTTCTTAGACAACTAAAAGAAAGTAAGAAATAGATGGAGATGAATTTTGCTTAGTGGCTTTAACTTCTTTGAAAACATGACTTAAAAACATGTAATAATTATGCAAGTTTTTCAAAATGATTACAAGTAGAACTGTCAAGAACCAATTAGACAGATTTTACGATTGAATTTGCTTAGAGGAAGGAAGGAGAAACAATGTGTGACAGTCATGGTTTACCTATATCTCCAAAAGCTCTTATGGTTCAAAACTCCGAGCATTTATAACCAACATTTTCTTCTTTGAAGCTCCATAGAAAAGTGGAGCTGCCTGTAGTATTTACATCCAACCTAAGACGTGCACATCAGAAGTTACTTGTAACATGCGAAGCAGTTAAGAAGGTATTTGTAAAACCTCTTCTTCCTTAGCTTCCTCCGATGCTGGTTCCTCTTGTCGTTCAACGGGACCTTGAGGAGTTCCAAAGAGAGTGGCAAAAATCTGCCTATGGCATTGATCACAGAAATAGAAATAGGAGAAGTGGGCCTCGTTTGGAAGTTTATGGATAACAGCTTCTGGCAAAACCCGTTCTATGTACTCCATCATTGATGGTGGGACCACCCTATCATCCAGTCCCTGTTGAGTGTTCAAAAGGGAAACATAAGATTTACATTTAAGAACATGTTATACTTAATTAGAACATAAAAAATCACTGCAATTATACTGATATATAACACTTAACATAGGTGTCCATCAGCACTTTTACAAGAATAAAATACAATAAATAAAATTAATTTGTTTGTAAACTAAAATTTTAACTGTGCCTAAACTAATTTAGAAAAATTTATATTAGATTTCCCGGAAGTTAAATTTTAACTTACACATGCCAATTTTAGTTTATTCATTATTTATGGATAAACTTATTTCATATTTTTAGAGAAATTTATCCAGTGTCTCTAAATTTGTCCAAATCTTCTTGCCACGTGATAGTTTGATCATTTACTCCTTTACACTATAAGTATTGTAGACTACTCACACAAATTTATTTTTGAAATGAAATGAAAACATGTCAAATAATTTATCCACACTTGAAATAGATAGAAGCACTAAAATGAATGTTTGTTCCAAGATGAATTGCTAATTTGAAACATAAACGATGTAATGGATACCCAGTGAGATATATTTGAGCACGAAGATCAACATATCCTTTTTTCCCCTCTTTGGGCAAATGTTTCAGCATCATTCAGTGGAGTTGATGCAGATTAAGACAGAACTTTTTTTGGAGCAATTGTTAATGCAATAATCTTAAATATAACTTTTCTGAAATGAAAAATCTCCTGATTTCAATTTTCCTACTTCGTGGAAGAGGCTGTTTATTACCACTTTTTTTATACATTCCTACAACTTCAAAGACCTTCAACTTAGCATGAAGGAAGTCAGTTGCACAGGAATGACACTATAGTGTAAATAACGATACAAAAATTGTAGTAACTAAAGAACAATGTGTTAAAAGTTCAAACCTGCCATATGTGTGTAAGGCCGAGAAATCCTGCTAATTCACAGTCCGCCTGACTGTACATGGATTTCAGCCAAAGTAGTATGCCTCTTGTTTGACACTTCTTTTGCACATGAAGTTCTCTAAGGTCGAAACCCCAATTTGATACCTGCATAACAGCTTCTTCTATAAATGGCCGTATCTTTCCCTGACGAACTGACTCCTCCACATCCCTTTGCCAAAATTCCTCAAATTCTGGTTCTTCAATCACAAGTTTATCCTGCACATGTGAAATTGATTATATTAACATAGCAGCGCTAAATATCTTTTACACGGAGACAATTTTGCAAGCTGCTAGTGAAATGAATCTATGTCACTTATAGCTGTGTTTTGGATTTATACTTGAAAATCATCTTTAACTTTACGTTAAATGTGAGATGTAGCAGCCAAGGCAAGGAAGAGAGGAAAATCAATTTCTCACAGACTACCATGATAACCATAACAGTAAAAAATAATGTCAGATGTGGTCAAATTAGAAGAGCACAATCACTCTATCTCTTCCAAAATACAACAAGATTGAAGCCAACAATATTAAATAAATCTCTATAGCTTAATATTTTGGTAAAGAAATTTCAAGAAACAAAAATCTTGTAAGGCTACATGGTTTCTTGCCCATAAAATACATTGGCAATTGAAAATCTATCAGTGTGATTCAGTATCCTGCAGATAAAGCATTGGCTTTGAGGTAACATATTATTAGCATGAACAGACAAGTGACTGCACAAATTTAAACCAAATGCCAACAATTAACTCTGTTTATTTCCAGCACACATGAATCCACTCCAGTCCTAATATTGCAATACAGAAAAAGCCATTTGATATTGATGAACAATGAAACATTTGAAAGTAATTGTACTTGTTTGTTAGATAGTAAAAGTATGATTTATGGCGCACTCACCTTCTTTCCTGGTGAGAAAGATAGCAGTTTATCAATCTTGTCATGCTCTTCAGGTAAGAAGCTTTTTCGATAGAAAAAACTGAGAAGTTTCGGAAATCTACGAGCCAAGGAATACATCATTTTCCTCTTTGGCAGCCACTTCTCCCAAGTTCTTTTTGTTTCCTCCTTAGTCATGTGCGGGTCGTATGGGTTAATCATAGGAGCCAACATTGCAGCACCTGCAATTTGGACAATATAAAATGTTAGATCAGATTATGCACTCCTTGTCTTTGATTGGGGTTGGTGGATAGGTAGACGAGAAATAAAGCAAACATTTCCAAAAAATGTAGGATACCAAAGAGCAAATTGCTTTTATTAATTTAGTGAGATCTCAATGGATCTTTTTTCTTTTTCATTTCTTTCATGTTAACTTGTAAGAATAAAATGCAGTCGAATTAATAACTTCATTGGCATTTGATATGCATGTGCCCCCTAAATTTTAACATTATTAGTTTATTATAAGCCACTCTCAGTCTACAAGCTGCATGGGAGGTAATATAGAGCATCAAATCACATTCCTCTGCATGAATTCCAAAGAGTTGATTTCATCAATAGATGATATTTTCTATAGCCAGATATTCTAAACCAAGTTGCAACCTGCAAGAGATTGGTGCTCTATTCTGCATGAAACACCTCCCATTTTTCATTGGGAATAACAATTTACTATGTATTCTCTTTAGACATTCAAACGAGTCAGTCATTGTGTTTTAAAGCAGGTGATATACCATTTTTTAAAATGTAAAACTAGATAGAATCACTATGCCTACACTTTGAGTTGTTCTGAACTCTAAGGTCAAACTATTTGTTATTTAGTAAATAAAGTAAGAACTAAGAATTCTGAGTCTCTAGAGGGTCCTCCAAAATGCTGAATGTGAAAGGATTTAAAATGAAAATAATTGAAAGAAACCAAGATAACTAGACTTTGGACCAATCAAGACATATCCCAGTTGTATCCCTTATTTCCTATCGCATATCCTCAATCAGTTGAGGCCTTGAGGCCCTTGTTGGACAGCACCATATGAATTGAGGTTTCTGTGGTACACTTAATAATTGACATACCTGCCCAATTGGCAATATAATTGAACATTGGAATTTACATCCATATATACCCAATATACAATAATTCTGCCAAGTGGCCAGGGGTATCACCACTTAGAGATCTGATTTAATTATTATTAGTGTCAGAATGAGGTCCAAGAAGAATCTTTTACGAACAATTTAAAGGTATCTAGAAAATAAAAAGCTTAAAAAGATGAACAACCTGCTATTCTCTCAGGAATATATCTGAGAGAAGCCCAGGCATGAATGCATCCACTGGAGTGACATAGTAACCAGAACTTATCACTAACATTGACAGCATTGACTAGATGCAGAATATCCATAGCTGATGAGTTGAGATCTCTAGCGGGATGAGGATCACTCTCCCCAAAACCAGGAAGATCATACGTGACAAAGCGAATGCCATACTCTTCAAGCAAAGATCTTTTGACTCCAGGTAAACCTTCCATTGCAAAGAAAGTAGAATAAGATGGAAGATAAATTTCAGTCTGCTCCTCATAAAAATTGCACCCAAAAAGCTTTTCTGATAACTAAAATTTCAACTTCTTTTACCTGCTAGTCTGGACGAAAGAAAAGAATGAGGGGCGACAAGTGAAAATCTAGCAGTGTCTGACGAAACACCTTGCTCATGATAAGCCATGTATCTACCATCAGGAAGTTGCACACGACTAGCACTAGGAGGATGTTTACGCACCTTCGTCATAGGAGCTACTGTCTCACGACTGGGATCTACACTTATAGCTGCAAAACTAAAACATTCAGTAAATCTTGTACCAAGCTAATACCATCAGGAAAAGGATCATTTGTAAGCAATAATGAAACTTGCTTCAAAATTTCATACACACATGACTTAACTCAATCAACAGGTATAGAATGAAGATTAAAAAATTAAATAAATACATGACAAGGAAACAGTCAGATAATTCTATAGGTTCCGTCATTTATAAAAATTCAATCGAAGCAATATATGGCAATAATACTGAATAAGTTTAAATCTTGGTTGGATAAACTTTAGTTTTAGAAAATAAAACAAAAAGATTTTAAAAAAAAAAAGACCCATTAACCTCTCCAGTAAAACTTATTAAGTATAGAAAATTAGAAGGAAAAAACTAAGTTTATCTTTTGAGCTCAAATTAGTTTATGCATAAGTTAAAAAATGGTTTGTATAAAAGCTAAATGAGATAGTATATACAAATTAACTAATAAATAAGTTGATTTAAACTTAAAGAAAAAAAAATATTTCATATGTTAATTTTTTTTTCTCCTATATGAACGCTTAACTTCAAACTCAATCATTTTTTTTAAAGATTAAGATACATAAAAATTGATTTTAATTAATGAAGAAAGCTCAAACCACCCTCTCGTGTTTGTTTTCTTTTCCTGCTTATATATTAAAGTTTATCCAAACAATGTCACAGAGGCTGTCCAGACAAATTATTCCTAAGAGAAAAATTATAATAAGGTTGTTCATAAATCTAAGTTTATTCACAAGTTAAAAAGATAAAAAATTAAAAAAAAACATTAAATTTAATCTTTTCTTCTTATTCTTCTTCACTAAAAAAATGTGGAAACAGGTTCTGAATCTAACACAGTCCAGTCTAGTCTCCTCAGTAGCACTTACTATGATTGGCCAAAAGAAAAGTAAGGAACTAACAAATACAGTAACAGATAGCGAGTGAAACTAATTAATTATGCTCTTCACAAGCAATGAAATAATAACATAAAAATTCATAGTGCAAGAAAGGAAGAGGAGTAGCGTACCCGCGAGCGCGAGAATGAAAACGAACAAGACAACGGACCAAGCATGAACGGGATCACGATCCTCAGGGAGAAAGTCGTTGAGAAAACTCAACCGCTTCGAAACCTTGGAACAAGGACCACCGAACTTCCTCACGATATAGGAATCCTCGTTCATCAAGTTCTGCCGCAGAATGTCCCTAAACCCTCTCCCCAGCTCGAAGAGTATCTCGCACCACGCCATGACGAACCCCCAGGCCTGCTCCTTCAAGCTCTCCCCGGACTCCACCGACTCGCTCTGCGGCGCGTACACGGACCCCCTCACCTCAAACGGCGTCGCGGAGGAGCCGTTCAGATCTCCGCCGTAGCGCACGCCCGAATCCTCTATGAGACTGGCCAGCTCCTCCGTCCACGTGTCCCCGCCTCTCACCTCCACCATTTCGCTACCGCTCCCTCCCACCCTCGAAATTCTCGAACCAATAAAGTCACTTCTCACTTATTCGCGTGACGGTCGGTGATGATGCAGAGCCACGACACCCCCTTCCAACCGCAACATCATCTTCTTTTTTAATTATTTTTAACTGCACAAAGCGTGATCTAGAAGCAAAACAAAACCTTTTCATCAACTATTCTTCGTTAATTAATAAATTAATTTATCAATAATAATCCGACCAGTATTCAAACCAGGTTAAAAAAATTCAAAAAGAACACGAATATTAGGAGGGAAAAAAAGGCAAAAAGAGGAATATTAGAATTTCTCACTTTTTGAACCTTTGTTGAACCCTCAGTTTACTGGATGAGTCGTGTTGGTTAAGTTACTGTTCCACTCTTTTGAGCAACGATTGTTCAAAGATAGTGGAAAGTTAGAAGGTTATTAAATAAGTTTAATTCTTAAACCGACAAAATTCTTTACATTATGAAATTATTAAATTAGGATGAAATTGACGGCGAAGATGTGGCCACGTCAGAGACGATAGCATAGCACGTGAAACCAACGGCCCACGCATTACTGTTAGGTCACTGCGTGTGTGTCTGCTCTGGCGGTTGGGTGGAAATTTCTTGTATTTTACGAAGATGTGTCGTTTTGGTCCATTGCACTCTATTATTGGTGTTTGTAGGGACTAATTATTCAACCATGATTATTTATTTTTGGATAAACTTGTTTAAACATAAATATATATATTTAAACAAGTTTCTCCAATATGTTAAAATTAACTTATCCATAAGATAAAAATAAAAATTTAGAAGATTTAAAGGAATTGCTATATGAAAAACCTTCTAGAAGTTAATTCATGTATAAATGTTAATATTTGATCTTTGAATCAACTTCTTTCTATAAAAACGACATCTTTTTTCTTTCAATGTTGAGACCATTGAATCTCAATATGTAATTTGTATGGATTAATATAAAGATAACTAAAGTGAAAAAAAAAATCATTAATAATATTTTTTTTAAGCCCTGTGTTAGTAATTTGTGTTGTCCTTTTCCTATCTTCAATTTTTCATTTTTACATATACAATACTATTAAAAAAATCGTTATATTTTTATTTTTCTAGTTAACATAGTTATGATGAAAAAGCTAAAAAAAACATATACATTATGAGGATAAACAAATCTGATTTACGTAGATTAAACGAGTTTTTATTATTAACATTAGTTATTATTAATGATTCTTTTATTTATTTACAATAATAATAAATTTATAAAAAAATTTATTAAAATATATACAATGTGAAGTTGTGGTGGAAGCATGACTCCGTAATATTTGTGTCGCCACCGGTTAGTGTATTGTATTTTTTTCGTTCAAAATTAATTTTAAATTTTTTTTCCAAAATATTATTCAGAAAATTCTTCAAATATATTATTAAAAATATTTTTAAAAATTAAAAAACTATAAAGTAAACTTAATATCAGACATTTAAATTATTTGATTATTTTAAGTAGATGAGGGTTGTTGAGCCTGTTTCACTTTGGGCCTTGTTTTCTTTTAGATCTGGCGGCGTTAGGTCCATCATTCATGCTATTTTCATATTTTTTTTATTTTGAAGCATTATAACTGTTCATAATTTTAAATAACGTATTATTCATTTTATTTGTATATAAATATTTAACTAGTAACTTTTTTTTATGACTAATTTTTACTATCAAAATTTGGCTGAGTATCTTCAATGTGTAGATTTTTCATAATTATATATTTCTATTAAAGAACTTGACACCTTGTGTTAATAATATGCTGAAATATTTTTTTTATTATTATATTAATTATTCAAAATAATCTGCAGAAATTCAGACAATTGTAATTTTTAATATTTTTGTAAAAATTATTTTTTTAAAATGGGATTGATTTAAAATATATATATATATATATATATATATATATATATATATATATATATATATATATATATATATATATATATATGTAACCTTGGAGATTCTTTACTCTCTCGTAAAGGTATCAGATTTATTGTTCTTGCTGACAATGCGTAGGAGTTACCTTTTGAAAGAATCTAGGTTGTTCTTCCATTTTTTGTTTTCTACATAAGGCATGAATGGGATCTGAAATCTAGGTCTTAATAGAAAAATAAAATATATAATTTATTTTTAAAACCACCTAATTAGATAATAGATGAATTCATTGTTTGTGATAAATTTCTTTTATATAAATTATGCTTTATTTTAATATTTAATATGAATAAATACATGTGTTTTATTTAAAAATAATGGAAATTGTATCTATTTGAGAATAAAGATATAATATAATTAACTATGATAATTAGATAAGCATTTTGGCTAGGGATGGCAAAACGGGTCAGCCGCTCCGTTTTGGCCCGCCCGCTTTGGTGGTCCGATATAGTTATGACGGTCAGTAACCTTGCCCGCCCACCAAGGGACGGGTTAGCGGATCGACCAGCTATAATTTAGAAAAAAATAATTTATTTTTTAAAATAATTTTTTTAATAAATTTAATAATAAGATTATTATTTGTTTGTCAATAATTTAATATATATATATATATATATTATTTTAATTTAATAATATAAATCAATATATTATTTTAAGAAATTATAATTTAAAACAATAATAAAATTTACATAATAATAAATAATAACACATATATATATAACGTTAAAACTTATAAAATTTATATTTTTTATATTGAAAAATTCAAATACCTATATCTTTTTTATTTGATAAAACTTCACATTATTATTGGTTGAGTAATTCTTACACCTTTAATTCAAGTCATAAGAATAAAAATAATCAGTGTTTAAGATGAATAAGGAAAACCGGAGAGAAGGTTGTGTTTCAGTAAGGAAAATATTTTATGTGAGAGTAAAACTTTTTTAATTCTCTTTTTAAAATTTTTAACTTTATATATTATCTTTATAATTAATTTTTATTACAATAAAAATTTATATTTTTATTAATTAGGCGGGTCGCGGTCGGCCCACCCAATCCCGTGGGTTGGCCCGCGGGTTGGCGGGCTTGGTAGGCGGGCCAAAGCGGCTGATGGGCTGAAAACACCAACCCCGCCATATTATGGCGGTCGGCGAGCCGACCATCCTAATTTTGGCATTATCCGATATTATATATATATATATATATATATAATAAAAATAAAGATAAAATATCTTATTATTTTCGAATTATTATAAATTTAATTTATAAAAGATTTTGTATGTTTTTTTATATATGATTTATATATAATTATTTATTTTTTATTGATTTAAGCATAATTTTTTGTAATTTTTAATATTCTTGGAAAGATAAAAAATTTGGCCGTCAAATATAATCTCAGTGATAATATTTGGACTCCTCATGAAAATTAAGATAGAATATTGTTCTACTCATATCTAGGCATGACAACGAGGCGGGACAGGAGCGGATTTTGCCTTCCCGATGCCCGTCCCAACTATTTTAATTGTCCTCATCTCGTCTCCGATCTATATTATTTTTAAAATATAATTATATTTATAATAAATTAAATTTACTATGTATTTTTTATATATAAATAAATTTTTATAAAATAAATTTTTATATTAAAATATGTATGTAAAAGAAATATTTTATCATTTTTATGTATATATATGGAATATTTATAATAATAATAATAATATTATTATTATAACATTGTATTCAAACATTTAAATACTTATTATATTATTATTATTATTATTATTATTATTATTATTATTATTATATATTTAAACATTTGATTACGTATATAAGTTAATTTATTTTTAAGTTTTATTTTAAAATATAAAATATATAATTTATAAGGAAATATTTAATAAGTTAATTCTTATTTAATTAATTTGAAGTAATAAAAGTTTAAATTATCAATTTTTTTAATTCTTTAAAATACAATTACTTTATTAAGATAAAATTTGATATATGACAAATAAAAATAATAAGATTCAAAAAATATGGCATAATAAAATCTAATAAATATAAATTATAAATAAAATAATATTAGTTATTACTAAGATTTATGTAAAATATTTAGAAAAAGATAAAGACGAAAAATAAATTGATTAGAAAGATTAAGAAAATGTGAAAAACTGAAAAACAATAGAAAAAAAAATAATGTAATAAACTAATTAATATAAAAGATAAAAAAAATAAAAAGTGGGTAGAAAAAAAGTAAAAAATGGTAAAATATAAAAAATGACCTTAGATGTAATAAAAAAATGAAAATACTATTAAAATATTAATATTTTAAAATTTAAATTTAAATATAAAGTCGGGACGGAGACGGATCGGAGTTGAGCCGCTCCACCCTGGTCAACTTGATTTTTTCCGTCAAACTCGGGGACGAAGACGGATCGGTCCCAACGGATATGAGTTTAATTGTCATCTCTATTCATATCTTTTAATCTTTCATATAAAATTATATTTATGACGAGTCTTATTATATTTAAGAACCGAGACCTAAGATATATTTTTTTTTCTTTCAATAAAATCTAGATAAACTAAAATTGTTCAAATAACTCAATTATTTGTTATATCTATTTAATTTGAATTTTTTTTTACGTAAAAATTATTGTTACATTTTACCTGTATAAAATCAAATATATATATATATATATATATATATATATATATATATATATATATATATATATTTTTTTTGTCATAACTTTTTTATGGTGAAAGAAGTTTATTTTAATTAAGAAAATTTCAAACTTATTTTATTAACAATAAAATTATGTTGATAATTTTTATCTCTAATTGGATATTGATTTTGTCAATCAGTAATTATTAAATGATATTTTTTATTTATTTTCAACTAACAATTTGAATAATAAAATCCATTACTTATAAGATGGATATCATGATATTTAACCCACAAATTCATTGATGAATTTTATTTTATAAATTTTTAAAATAAATTATTAGTGACAAATATAAAATATTTAAAATTAGAATTTAGA